CTGAGACTCACCCGGTGAATCAGCATGCTGTCAGTCACAACCACCACCTCTGCACTCCTGAGAAAGATGCACAGTTGGCAGGGTATGTTTTTAGCTCGGAAGCATGACTTTCCTGCAGAGGCACGCCTACACTTCCAATAGCAGGAAAAAAAAAAACACAACTATCCGATGCTGCTGTAATTTAGGCCAACAGTCGCCCACTCAGAGAGGAAGCCTTGGCCACCGATTCATTTAGAGTTCAGCTGTCAGACTCTATACTCGCACACTTTCATGCACACACCTTGCCTGACATATTGCAGCGCTGTGCATCCTGCACAGGTAATGAGAAGTGGGGAAAAGAGACGGGGGCTTTATTGGTCTGGTGGGTCTTGGATAAAATGGTGAAACTGAGGCCTAAAGGAAGGCTCAGACCATTAAGCTTTCTGCATCAAACATTTGGGGAAAACAAGCAAGACTCGATCATTAAACTAAAATACATTATAATTATTGTTTATAAAAAATCAGAATGGCTTTTGTTGAAAACCACATTGAAGTTTTCTACTTTATTTTTTTTTAACAGTGTTTCTATCTTCTACTTTTCTCCAGCCTCAAAATCAAAGATGCACTAAAAATGCTGTGCATGTGCATCTTCACTTTTGCTCTTTTTCTCCTTCAATCTTCCTGCTCTCAAAATGTAGAAAATGTACCGTCACTCCAGTCATTTCGCTGTTTATTTATTTTTTTATACCAATATGCTTTCATGTTGTTTACCAAAGATGTGCCTGTGGGCTGCTGGGTGGGTTTCCTGCAAATAAAACCTTCAGGTCTTATTTTTTCCCTCTCTCTCTCCTTTAGGAAGAATTAGGCAAAAATAAATATCCGAGTGGAAATAAGCCACATTTCAAAATAGTTCAACCTTTTCCACAGTTAGATTATATTTTTAATATTCAAACTTCTTGAGAAATATATATATTTTTTATTTAGCACAGTTTTATGAAAGCAAAGTCTGGTTGTATGCCAGGACATACAGATGCTGCCGATTTAAAGCATTTGTTTCTAAATAACTTCATAATACTGTTGCATCCTTTGTAAAAATTCAGTTGTTATTCCAAACCTATATGTGTTTATAACCTAAATGTCTCTGTCAAATGATGTTTGAGCAGAGTCTATAATCTGTCAAGCATCCTGACAGGGTGGCCTTTGGGGGGATAACAGTCTTCAAAACATTTCCTTCCCCCTGAGGTCACAGCCTTTTATTCAACTGGGCTCTGAGAGGAGAGGCCGTTTGGAGACACCGGTTTTAATGGCGTGCTGCACCGAGAGTTTACGACTGTCTGAGGCTGAGGAAGGCGACGTTACTGGAGCACCGGCGAGGGGATATTCTGATCCGACGAGCACTAAAGCAAACTGTGCAATTTGCAGAGGGGCTTTTTCTTAAGAGGAGGTGACTGTGATTAGCTGCACTCCTGTGAGACAGAGATTTATGAGCTCTAAGCTTCTTTTTTGCTTGACCTGCTGCACAAATTTACAAGTCTGAAAAATGCAGAGAGGCCGAGGAAGAAGAAAAAAAAAAGAAAGTGCTGCGTAACTCCCAGGATTTATTAGAAGGTGTTTCTCAAGATGGTTTAGAGAAGCATGAAATTATGCTAATCAGCTCGGGGACATGAATTTTTTCTTCTTTTTCAGATGCCAAATCTGATTTCATGGAATATGTAAAACAGGAAATGTGAGCTATGCCAAAACCAGAATAACACAAATTCTCCGACTTCAAAACTCCTCATTGTTTTCTGTGCGTGAATTTTAGGTCAGCTCCCTGCAGAGATGACTTGGTTACCACGCCAACACGTTTTTGCCCCCCGTCTCCTGTTGCTATGGTAACAACTCAGGTCCTGGTTGACCTTAGCTTTCTCCACAGATGCACTCAGTCATTAACTGAGCAGGCATTTATTGTACCAATAATGAGCTTCTTTGTCCCCACAGTTTGACCCCGAACTTCAGTGGGCTGAGCAGAATCAACTTTTCATTGGTCCTGATCATCTGAGCAGGATGCACTGTGGCCTGGTTTTGTTTCTGATGCTCTGGGAGCAGCAGCACCTTACAGCTTCTGTAGCTAAGTTCACTGTTTTGGTTTTGTTGTTGTTGTTTTTTTAGTTTATTCAGCAAATACCGTGGCTGCAAAGTGGGCACAAATGATGAGGCCTCTGCCTCTGTGCTTGTTATTTGTTATGAGGTGTTTGTGCTGATGCGATGCTTCTGTTGTACTTGGTTTCCTCTAAATGCAACTGTGTGCATTAGAGGCTAACATCTGCACTTTTTCCCCCTTACACAAAGCAAACATTTGGTTAGCCGTCAGGTTGGTCAGAATAAACTTTGTAAACCAAAGTAACTTCGTTCAACTCGTCCAAACAATCTGCACTCGTTTCATGTGCTGCTGTGCTTTAATTAACTGGTGATTTAGGTCTGTGGACTCTGAATGTAGGTCGTGTCCAGCCTGACCTGATGATGGATTTTCTAGCATGCTTTCTAACAAAAAAGAACTGAACTGAATGGTTATTGTGTGAAGAAGTAATTACTTGGAAAGAAGAGTCAATTTTCTTTTCTCTCCAGCGTTTTGATTTTACACATTTGCATCTTCCGGGTTATTATATTGGTAAAATTAACTTTTAGTTAATAGCTGGGACTATTGACTCTGTATTCTTGGTCTGTGTTCTTTAGAAATTGATTTCTGTTCCAGTTTCTAAAGTGGCATTGCTGCCCAGATGCACACCAGAATACTTTATACTTATGAGTTGTAAAATGGTTGTTTAAAACAGGAGGAGTGAATGGAAGCAGCTGGAAGTCACTTACGATACAGAACAGCTTGTGTTTACTCCTGAAGTTTTTGCCAAACTACAATAACGTAGCTTAAAATGTTGCTTTGATATCCTTCTTAATGGACATTCACTCAAGTTGCATTCACTTATTTGGCTCAGACACTGAGCAGAGGGGGAAAGAAGGCTGACGGCTGCACCCATTTGTTGTGGGTAAAACCATACATGTGAAAAGTTGGTGAAATTGCAATAAAATTTGTCCCGATAGCTTTGGGGCTGAAATCAAAATCATCATCAAAACAATGTAGTCGAGCAAAAATTTACATACTTCCCTTTTGCAAGTATATAAATGCAATAAGTGCATTTACATCTCAGAGAGTAAATCTGTTCAATAATTTTCATTTTGATGTTAGGTGTAAAGTTTGCAAGAAGGGTTGTGTTTTATATATATATAGACTGCTTGCACTCACAGGAGACATTTGAACAGAAAAAAACACAAATTGTTACAGTAGAACCTTCAGATTTTCTCCGCCGGTTCCGTGGCCGTGTTGATGACTCCCTGACAGCACCTCTGGGATAAACTATCCTCCATCCCTCCGCCACGTGTCGCTTCTTATCCTCCAAGCCATTAGTCAGCTTGAGGCTCGTCTCGTATTCACGTGGAACACTATTTGTAGTCGTATCTTCAGTTTCACATTACTGAAGATAATGTGAAAGGCCTAGAAGCCTTTCTTCTGATCAGATCCACTTGACTTAAAATGGTTCAAAAGAAACTTTCATGTCATTTCCATAGAGGATTTGTGACTGTCTGACCTCTAAGGATTTGTAGAAGAGACACAATATGAGTTCGCTCCCTGGAGTCTCTGCGCAGCAGCGAGTTATTGTCCTCGACAACTGAAGGACAGATGAGAAACAGATTTTATAAAAGAAAACATGGTTTTATTTTTTTTTTAATAGTATAAAATAATTGCATTTTTGCACGCTGAAAACAAAATATTTTCAATTAATTATGTTATTGATTAATTTGATAGAAATGTCAAAACTAAAAACAAAGTTCATGAAACTGACAATCTTTTACAATTTATTTTTTCTTAGAAAAACGTTTTAATTCTTTTTTTTAAATGTTTTTTTAATTCAAATAATTGCAGCACATGTATTTCTGCAAGTGGGCTTCGTTCATCAGTTTATGTTTTAAGCAGGTTTCATGCTCAACCTAAGTGTTTGTAATGTAAATCGATTTCATATGCCTTTTTGTAGAATGTGAGAACAAGAGAGTAATTTAATTAAATTTAATTTGTTAAAAAAAAATACCAATAGTGACTTTTTTTCTTAACCACTTAACCACAAATCAAAAGTAAAAAAAAAAAAAAATTAAATATGTTGCATCGACAGTTATGAATTAATGCCTAATGTGTAGAAGCATATCAACATATTCTCAGTTCTGCTAATTTAGTTTGATCTCACGAACACCAGCGAGAAAAACCTAGACACCACAAAATACCACAAAAAATGTTTTTAACACAAAAGACAGACAACACACTTGCAGGATTTCCAAGCGCTATGCACTAAATTACAGAGTTTATATGTTTTCCTTTTGAGTTTTTCAGGAATTCTCAGCTAAAGTGTGCATCTAAATCTTTAATGATTAACTTTCTGTGAACCAGCAGGAAACCAAAAGTACACTCGGAAAGCTCTTGAGGAAAAAAATGCCTTCTAGCGTTGAAATGAAAAGCGTAGAAGCTCTCCGGAGGAGCTGGAGGAAGTTGTTAGCAAAAGCGTCTCTCGCTAAACTGCTGCCTCCTCAACTCTGACGGAGATTAGCAGCAGGAAGAGAGACGAGGTTCCATCTGCAAACACGATCAGTGGGGTTTCTTTCTGTTGGGGTTCTTCTAAGTCATCTCGGTCACTGCTCATGCTGTCGTGCAGAATGTTCTGCTGCATTTTTCTGTTGGCTTGCAGTGTGTGTGCCGTTCTAAAGTAAATCCTTGACAAATGCTTCAACCTTTATACCTGTATACCGTGGTTGACTGAAAACACGTTAGCTGGAAATTCAAAACTTCCTCACTTTCAAAGTCAAATTCATTGTTTAATCTTCACGTAATCTATTTCAAACAAAAAAATCTGCTTTATGACCGATTCTGTCATTTCCAGCTCACTGGTGGATTTCTTCTGATCCTGACCCGTCTCGTCCTTTTCTCTGTGGTTCTGCAGGAGTTTGCTGCTCTGACCAAGGAGCTGAACGCCTGCAGGGAGCAGCTGCTGGAGAAGGAGGAGGAGATCTCTGAGCTCAAAGCTGAGAGGAACAACACCAGGGTATCTAAAGCCTGAATCTTACATCAAACTTACACTGTGCTGCATCAGACAGAAGCAGTGAATCTGCATAAATTTGGTTTTCTCCCATTAGTTTTGTTGTTAACAATGAAGCTGGGTTTTGTTTTTTGTTCTGACGAAGCAAATTTTCTTCTTTATGCTTTTTTCTTTCTGATTGGTGCAGTTTGAATTTGTCCAGGTGGCTTGGTCTGCTTTCAGAAGCTCGGAATGAAAGCAAGAAAAGGAAATAAAGATATGACCACAGAGTTTAATAAATGTCATCTTACCACTCCCAGTATCTTTGTATTTACAGAAGATACAAATGAAGTTGGGATCCTTTCAAACTAGCAGCAGGGGAGTGAAACGATATAGACTTGTTTTATTTCTGATGTTAAAATTGTGAATGAATTGTGTCAAATCCAACCAACAGAACTGCATTTCCATGACAAACAAATATCTTTAGCACAGAGATGGAGGAATGAATTGTTAACAACTGGACCGAAATTATTAATATGAGTTGTGAAAACGTGGTATTCCTAATACACAGCTTTGAGGGACACCCTTTGTGACGGGTAACCAGAAGAAAGACTAAATTATGCACAGATTTTTCCCACATTCCTGATATTTATAATGTTTCACTTAGAGCTCCAGTATTTTGAATATGATCTTGAGAAAAAAGGCCCCTGGAGGCTGACTGCATATTCTGATGAACAGAAATGGAAGTAAGTCTGCAAAAGTACTGAACCAAGCATCTATGCTGTCAGTAGTTCTTGACATTTTGCCTGGGAGTTTTCCTCTTCCTCCACATGTGAGTGCTCCGCAGTAGGATGAAGTGGTGATGATATGCAGAGTGCTCCGGCTCAAATACTCTCATGGGAAATTGAACCAACTTGTAAATGTTTGGGGAGGCAAAAAGTTGTGCATGTTCACTTTTAAAAAAACATTCTCATCTTAAAAGCTGTAAGCACAGTCTGCTGCTGCCAGATGAGATCGGTTTACTTTTCTGCACTGATTTAGTTTTCACTTTTTTTTTGTTCTGCTAAAGGACTATTTTAGCACAGCTCACTGAGAAATCATGAAAACAGGTGCAAAGCAACAGAAAACGTCATTTTCACACTCGCTTAATTATCGCCTCTAACTCTCTAAAGAGGGATTTTCTAAGCAAGCTCTAATTAAACTTGGTTTTGTCACTGAAGGTGTTTTACATTTCATAATTAAGTTTTGAAAAGCATGTGCAGACAGGCAGTGGACTGAGGGCGCTGCAGTGTGGGGACATGTAAACTTTATTGACTGCTGGGGATAAGTGTCCCAATCGAATGCCATGCACATACAGCTGGACTCGAACGGGTCTGGAGACATGAAGCGTGTCCAATAAATAATAAAGCAAAGGTTGGAAAAAAAAATCTAGCAAACAGGATTAGAGTGTGTTCTAATTCTGGAAGGAGCTCAGTGTAAACACTTCATGACTGTGTTTGCTCTGTTGACGTAGCAGGAATACGGAGTACATGACGACTGCTGCTCCAGTTCTGACAGAGATGATTCAGATAGAGAGGTGGTTTAAATTTGTTTTTAGATGGTTATGTTTCTCACAAACATGAGAATGACTACTTGAATTTTTTTCTAATGGTAAAATATAATTGGTTGCATTTTTTTAAAACTATAATTGAATGCATACTACTTCCAGAGCATTTATTTCAATAGTTTAGTGGAAAAGCAAGTTGGTTTCTGCAGCATATGGTGCTGCAGACAGTCCATCCCCATGTGAATTCAAAACTGCTTTCCTTTGCAATAAAAGTTTCCTCTCTTAGCCACAGTAGAAACTAATGTCAAATTGGAAATATTTAAAATATTCTTGATGTGCTAATTATGAAAAGTTCACCACTGAGACTTCTGGGTTTATGGTTAAATGCAATTACTGTCTTTTACTTTCGACAATCTTGAATCAGTCGCTGTGCACCTTTTGCATTTTTGTTTTTATGCTATATTCACTACACAAATCTACAACAAAGAGCGGTATTAATGTAACACTTTCATAAAGAAAGGGGTGAAGCTCGAAAGTATCTTAAGGTTTACTTTTTAATGCAGTTAGTGCTCAAAGACTCGCTCAGGGATGAGTCTGCATCTGTTCAGCAGCTGTTTGAAGCTTTTCCCTCCTTTTAACAAATAATCTGTGCTTGTGATTTTCCCAGTTACTTCTGGAACATCTGGAATGCCTGGTGTCCAGACACGAGCGGTCACTCCGAATGACGGTGGTCAAGCGGCAAGCTCAGTCCCCCTCAGGGGTCTCCAGTGAGGTTGAAGTCCTCAAAGCACTTAAGTCCCTATTTGAACACCACAAAGCACTCGATGAGAAGGTATATCTGCCACCAGCTGTGTATTATTTTCACTTCTGTTGGAGGAAAAAAAAAATATTTTTGCATGTTTGTAAATGAATGCAGAATACTGGGAAACAATATGGGTTCCTTATATATTTTAATAGAATTTATATGTTGATTTACTGTTTAAAACGATGCTATGAGACTATCTGACTTGAGCATTGTTGGCACTGTTTGTTTTCCATAGTTAGGTTGCTGCTTTTACCCTCTGTTCCCCCCTTTGTGATCCACAGGGAGGCCAGCTTTCAGCCTGACCCCTAAATGCTCTCATCTGTTAAGGCCTGATGATTTGGGTGGTGAAATTGTCTTGGGGTACTGGGCATATTCTCAACTCAAAAGTTTTTAATTCAGGGTTAACTCCTCTGAGATTGTTGAAAAGATAAGAACAAGAAGGTGGGAGATATATTGAAAGAAAAATTACTTTTGGACTCAATCAGGGTTCCTTTTGTGTTATTGTACAGCCATAAGCAGAGAAAAGAATGATTTATCTCCTGCCGTGTTAGATTTAAATGAACAATGATGTAAATATTGTTTTCTCTTTTCATATTTTCAGGTCAGAGAGAGACTCCGAGTGTCACTGGAGAGAGTCTCTGCCTTGGAGGAGGAGCTCACAGCAGCCAATCAGGAGGTAACAAACTGTGAGCTTATATGAAATAACAGCTGTGCTAATATTTAAACATACTTACTTAAATACACGTTCACTGATTTGCTGAATGTTTGACTGGATAATGAGCCCCAGGCCAGTGTATTTACGTTGATTTTCTCTAGTACAACAAATCCTAGAAATAGAAATTTCTACATTTTGTCAAGTTACAAGTCAATGCATCACTGGGATTTCAGGTGAAAGACAAACGCAAGTATCTGTGAAGTGGACAGGAAAAGTTTTCATTTGATTTGACAATTCAAAAAGCTGCAAAACACAATAAAACCTCTACAATAAAACCCAGTGCAGCCAGTTGCAGAAAGCATTTCATTTCACCATAACTGTGTTTTGTGAGGTTCTCAGAGGTTTATTTGAGCACAAACTCCTCACACATTTTTACAGCAATGTATATCCTGCTATAAATTATGTTTTTTTTCACTAAAACTCAGAACCTGCAGAAGAACACTCGCTGTTTTCAGATCAAAGTTGCTTCATGTTCCACACCAGCAGCCGCTTCCCAGTCCGTCACCAGTCACCACACTTGGACTTTTTGTGGTCGTCACATCCTGACAGGGATTTGGTTGGAAGGCGCAAAGATGAGAATATAAACGAAAAAAAGGCAACGAATGTCGATGCCGACTGTGGCCAAAGAGATGTGTGCTAATGAGTGTGCAGGTGCGTCTTTAGCGAAAGCTGAAAAAGTATGGAGACCACAATCTTAGCTGAAATGAACAGTGTTTCAGAGGAGATGGTGTGGGCTATTTGGCTGCAAAATCAAAGATCATTTTCTGGAGAAGTGAGAGTAATTTGACAAGCCTGTCGTTTTTAAAGTTTTTCTTTTTTCTTATTCTCTCCTAGAAGAAACTTGATTTTAACGGCGCATTTGAGGCACCGTCAGACACGGCGGTAGGAAATGTAGCGCCGTTAGAAATTCTCACACCACTGAGCCAAGGTTAGAAAGCCTCTGCAGTACATCCGCGAGCTTCCCCCTTATATACGGTTAACAACGCGCGCCAGCTGTGGGCAGATGAGCGATCGGGCCTACAGGCGGCAGACAGACGCTCAAACTGCCGTTGCTGAATAGAAACGTCTCACTTCAGGGGCTCCAGGGAGGCGTGAGCAAGCAAGCTGGTAATTGATTTTGGATGGAAGGTCTTGTACGAGTCCCATTTCCCTGCAGGCATTTTCACAACACTGATGAAATCTGCAACCTTTGACCTTGTGCAGTCACAGGTGCTCAAGTGGCCACACACTGATTACCGCAAGGGATTCTAGTTTGCTTCTATCAAATCAAATGTTATACTGGATGTGTTGGAATATATTTAAATACTCAATTAAGGAAATGAGTTTAACAGTTGAAAAGTTACACAACATGTTTAGAATTGTTTTTGTTTGTTAAAGTGACACAATGCCAGTATTCTTTCTAGGATTCTCGTTGTTCTTAGTTGACCAAATGAAGGCGGACATTGTCTTCTGCTCACAGAGCTGAGACTTTATTTAAAATGTTGTTGCAAAGCTAGTAAGTTTTCTTTAATGCTGTACAGGTCTGACTCCTGCAAAGCATGTTTTAGTATTTTTAAGGAAAAATATTGTGCAGTACTTTCCCAAAGCCTGTTTTTTAATAGTTTTTTCTGAGTGGACAGATGCCCTCAAATTTTATGTTAATATCGATATCTTATTTTGGACTTTCATAATAAAAAAAAAAATCCAAAAACATTCGGTTTCATCTTTAAAGTTTCTTACGGATAAAAAACCTGGCATTTTAGGAAAAATGAATGCATTATTTTGTGGCATTTCCAGTAACAAGTTTATTTGTCTGGGTCATCTGCGTCAGACCTGCACATTTTCTGGTCTCCTTTTTAACATGATGAGGCATTGAAAAACCATTGATTGATAATAAATCTAAGCAGTAGGTAACACTGCTTGGGAAACAATAAAAAACAACAGTATTTTAACCTCAACATGAAACCAGATCCTGCAGAAGATTCAACACGTTTGAAGTCGTATAATCCGGTTAGTCCCACTTACATGGGGAGATCTGATTAGAGATGAGCACTGCAAGCACAAATACCATCTGAATATGGAAATGGTTGAATATCTGAATATTTAGCCTTCATTTTCACAACCTGCTGTTGAAAACAAGACAGCCGTTTATCAAAACAGTCGTATTATATGTGAAATCCAAGTTTGATGTTGGAATATTTAGTGCACATCCATACATGCAATCAGATTTATTTCCACTGTGCTACCTTTAAAATAAACCCAAATATAGCGCAGGAAATCGGAGCAGAAACGGCTTTATTTTGACTTCAAGGAAAATGTTTTTGTATGAGGAAAGAAATTGGAGTTATTTTTTCCCCATTTGTGACTGATTGTATTTTAAGTAGACTGCACCGAACCTCCATGCTACTGGATGGATTCAATCTTCTTCAATTCAGTAAATTGCTTTGCAGAAAATCAAAATCACCCTTCACTCCTTCTAGTAATTCAATTTCTCCTTCGTCACTCTACTTCGGACATTTCTCATAACATGAAATTGTTGTAAAAACAGACGAGGAACATCACATTGTCCCTTTCTTTCGTTCTTGCTATTTTGTAGAGGAGACGGATCAAGAAGAACTGAAGGGCAGCAGCCTGTCCATCTGAACTTGTCGTCTGTGTAATTTCTGAGCTGGAGATGCATGCACGGCACTCCATTCATTATTTGTTGGGCTTTCATGTCAGGGGTGGCGTTGGTGTTTGATCTCTGAGGTGGAGAAACTGCAGACGATCTCAGGATAGTCGAGGAAACATCCAGAGACGCGGCTCTGACCTCATTAAAATTAATGAACAGAAATGCTCTGTAGTGTTTTAACCCTCGTCGTTTCACAGACTTATTTAGTGGCAGAAGTCGCTGTCTGGATCGTGCAAACAATTCTGTTGCCGTTTGTGTCATTGATTATCCTCTAAAGCAAAAAATATATCACGCAAAACATGACCTTGTTTCTCTAAACGATCACTGTGCTTTCACGCAGGATGACGTGTTTAAAGCGAAACATTAGCGATCCTGGGAAATCCCCAAAGAAAAACCAGAGAAAGCAGAGTTCAGGTCAAAGCCCGCTGAAAGCTTCTGAGAACCGAGAGTCTGATGGAGCTTTAACATCCTCCCTGCATGGTTAGGGTTAGTCTACCGGATTGTTGTTGGAGCTGCTTCTTTGCTTGCAGAGGGATTATAGTTAAATAATGTGAGCCTTTTGTAGCTGAAGTGCTTCTGTGACCTTTGCTGTAAGGAGGATGCTGAGGGTTAAAGCAGAGCAGGAAGCACAAGCAGCAAATGATCAGAGAAACAGACAACTTATGCAACACGGCAAATCACTTTGATCTTTCCATCATTTCTTCCCTTCTCTAATCATCTTTCTTTCTCTTATTCCTTTGAATATTTCCTTTAATATTTTATCCTTCCTTTCTTTCAGTGATTTTTTTTGCTGCTCCCATCTTTTTCTTTCTTCATTCTCTTAAAGTTTTCCTGCCAGCAGTCTCTGCCTTCTCACTGCTGAAGTTTTCATTTTTTAAAGTTCAATAAAAGAAACTGAAGAAATTCCTCTCCTGTGTAAACCATAGAAATATTGCTTGCTGTTTAACGAAGGATATTAAAAGATAAAATGCAGCAGAAGCTCCTCAGACTTTGACTTCAGTACAGACGCATGTAGTAATGAGCCAGGAAATCCAGCTGTGTTCAATTTCAGCACTAATTCGACTCCTCCTCCCTGAAAGGAGGTTTTTCTGTTTACCTTGAAAAGACTGTCTTCCAATCTGTGGCCTTGCATTGCTGTTAGAAGGAGAATTAAATAAAATCACAAGGAAAAACGCTTTTAAAAAGCTGATCTAAAGTAAATGCTAATGCAGAGGACTCTGGACTCGGGTATTTACTTCAGCTCTGCTTTTAGAGATCCGAGGAGATGCATTCAGTTTGTGTTTGGAGGTAATTTTAAAGTATTTAGTTTGAAAGATAAAGAAGCACTTTGTAGCTACAGAAGATCTTGTCACTGTAAAGCTAGCTGTAAACATTATTACTGGTCATATCCATGGTGATGTGCTGATTTTAGTTGCTTAAGGTCATAGCTACTGTGATTTTACGAGACTTCTAGCTTTATTTTTCTGTCTGTCGCGTCATTTTAAACATTGTCCAACATTGGCTCCACGATTAATGAATATTTTAAATGTATACCTGTGTTTACGATCGTACAGATTGTGGCCTTACGAGAGCAAAACGCTCACCTTCAGAGGAAAGTCGCGTCCGGTGAAGGAGGCGATGACCTACTGGAGGGCAGCGAAGCGCATCAAAAGCTTCACGGCAAGGTGAGCGTCACCGGAGCTCAGGTTTCTGGCTGTAAATGAAAATAAACAGTACTGTGAGACATTTATTTAAAGGGAATAAAGATGATTTCAAAATCCAACAATGACATGCTAATGTATTTCCTTAGGAGCCAAATTTGTCTTTCTCTTAAGACAGGCTGGTCATCTTGCTTCAAGCAGCTGACAGGAACTTCTTTGTGCACCAAGCAGTCGATGGAAACTATTGCATTCATCAGGAGTACTAAGAACTAAATTTAGGCCGTTTCCGAGCTGTAACATGACTTCATTTGACATCTTGGTCAATGAAATCCACCCTCCTTTACTGACTGTACCGTCAATTTGGAATAAAATCTTCAAAACTCATGGAACTGCACCTTGTTCCACTACGCCGCTCCGATTTTGTTTTATATCGGCATCGTCAGAACTTCAAACCTCGTATCTGATGCTAAAAAAATATTTCCATGCAGACAGAGGCAGCTGGATAGTTGGTTAGATCAATGGAAAGGCTGTTACTCTGCTGGTCCTCTGCAGGCTGCAGCTTGGGGGGAGGAGAATAGGCGGGTGTGGAGAGTAGAGAGATGAAAAGCGCGCACGCTGAGGCGAGAGGTAATGAGAAGACGGTTATCATCTGCTCTGTTCTGTTGAGATAAAATAAAGGAATATAAACACAGGCTGTTTTCTGCATGTTAATGTTTGGCTGCGTGCTCCTCATGTGATGCGACGAAGGCAAAGTTTTAACCTTGCGGTGATGGAGAGGTTTAGTCATTCAGCGTCGCTGCAGTCACAAGGACTGACAGAGACGCTGCTGCAAACACCATTAGCTGGGAGTGACGGCCTGTCCTGTGGTGTAAAATATACATGGCTGTGGCCTCAATGTGGCAGGTAGGAGGAGGTCAAGGGCAGGAAAGGTCACGCTTTCTTTTTGTTTTAGGAATCGTTGATGCTTTTGTTTTCTGTTCTCACTCCTATTCTTTATTTTGTCTACCAAATCTTTATTGCTATGAGGTAAAAATAAACTTTCATGAGAGATAGACACATATATAGACTTTTCAGCCAACGGATGGGGAATTTTATACACTTTCTGCTAGTTTTTAACCAATATCACCTTTATCTGAAGATGCAGTCTCTAAAATTTGACTTTACTTTGTAAGCTAACTAAACTTGGTAAAGACTGCATGCTTTGCGGCTATGCACTAAAACACCTAAAATAAAAAAGAGATTGAAAAATGGGTTGAAAAATGTCAGTTATGGTTTCTAAGGGAGGCTTTTCTTTCCTATGTTGACCTCGCACATGTTGTGTCTCCCTCCCAGCGTCTGTCGAACGGCTCTCTGGAGTCGGCCCGCGAGGCGAGCCAGGTGGTGGAGCTGCAGGATCTGCTGGAGAAGCAGAACTACGAGCTGGCCCAGATGAAGGAGCGCATGTCCTCTCTGTCCTCCAGGGTGTCCGAGGTGGAGCAGGAGCTGGAGACGGCCCGCAAAGACCTCATCAAGTCAGAGGAGATGAACAACAAGTACCAGAGAGACATCAAAGAAGTAAAAGCTCATACACATTCACTTGTACGCGCTGTATGTGCGCAGAGAAGAGAGGGAAACGTGCATATTTCTAAGTTGGGGAGGAAAAAGACATGAGAGAATCCTTGCAGTGGTGTGAAAAAGCTGGCATTTCAAATCCAATGTATCCATGCCCTGAATAAATGACGTTTTTTTCTCACTATTTGAAATTACGTCAAACTAAAGTTTCTCTCTGTTAGCACAGTTTTAAAATTTATTGGAATACGTAGTTTGCTGAAAACGTGGCCTATTCCTCATGGACTGATCTGATGTAGCATTTTAAGGTGCTTAAATGTTGCAGATGTTGCTTTATAAGCCATAAGTCCATCATAAAACCTTTTCCAAATGGTTTAAAGCCACTTTGAATGTGCACATCTATGCTAAAATGCTTCACAATAATTTTCTCAGATGGTATTTAGCAAACATAAGCAAGTTTGGCCATTTTGACAATGAGAAAGTTTATGTATTCATCTGGTTTTAATCTCAATCTCTAAATATCTGCATACCTCCTTAAAATGTCTACATTTCTAACATGTTAAATGCTGGCTGGTAAATATTTAGCACACTGCAAGATACAGCAAAGAAAATGAAGAAAATAATTCTCCAATAGCCGACAGCACAATAGCACAGCTGCGTACTTGTTCACTGTGCCTATGTATATAGGCTGATACCCCTTTGAACCACGCCTGAAATTACTATTGATTGCTAACAATGCAGGCTGAGGCATTTATTGCAGTCTTATTGGAAAGACGGCTTGTTATCACCGTTATCTGTCGTCTCTGAGAGCTGCAGTATCTATCCACCCTTGCAGGATGACTATTTCTTGTTGCTTTTTGTCTCCTGCAGTTCTTTCTGCAGGAAATTAACTCTCATAGTTTTTGTGGTAGTCCTGCCACTGTGAAGCAGAACTCTCAAAAACTCAGTTTTTGCTTTTTGTAGTTTCCCAACTCATTTTGTGCAGCTTTAGAGAGCCCTGCACAAGTGCTCCTTTTTTATTTTACTCTATAAAAGTATATTTTGTTGTGTATTTTAATGCATTCTATACATCCAGAAAACATAAGCAACAACTAAAGTTCTGATTTAACACAGATGTAAAAAAAAAAAAAACACCAGGATCTTGACTGTTCTGATAATTGTGCGCAGGTCATGTGCCAGAAGGAGGACATGGAGGAACGCATCGTCACGCTGGAGAAACGCTACCTGAGCGCGCAGCGAGAAGCCACGTCTGTGCACGACATCAACGACAAGCTGGAGAATGAGTTGGCCAACAAAGAAGCATTCCTTAGACAGGTAGGTAAAACCTGCTGAGGATCTAAAAGAGGCTTGAAGGTTAATAACTCAAAGATGGCGGTAGACTGTGAAGCCAGTTTACTATGAGGTTTTGTGTGTGTTAGATTCTCCCTTCAGGCTGGACAATCTGGAGCAGTGCGCGTGTCTGATAACAGGTCTGATCACTACAGAATGATAAAAGTAATCCAAAGTTTTCAAAGTCAGAAATCATCTAAGTGTCGAAGTACTTCAAGTCAGGCGATACTAAATGGAGGTTTGGATTCCCTTTTGTGTTTCTTCATCCTAATGAAACAAGGATGGGGGGAAAAAAAAAAATTTCTCTTTTTGCTGGAAATGCTGGTTTGCAATAATTAAAATTTTTCAGAGGTCTCATCAAAAAATAGCTTTTTTTATACCTGTGAGTGCACAGTACTGGACCAGCTGACTCTCACTCTTTCCAGTGTTTCCTGCATGCTTGACTGCTCATTATTCTGCCTTTAGGTGTTAATGTGCAAACTGTATGCTGAAATTAGTTTTACTTCACTCCATTTTAATCACATTTAGTTATGTAATTATTGAGAATACCTACATCAGATTTAATCATGACAAAGCATCTGAAAACTTTAATATTTTAGGTTTGTAGTTTTTGGGTTCAAACAGCGTTTTAGACATCAGAACTACTGACATTTTGTCTTTAGGTACCATGAAGCTTTAGTATTTTGAGCTCCTGCTGCCACCCTCCATCACAGGCTGTGCATTGAGTCCATTTGTGCTGTTGGCAGCAGATGAAGCTCAGGATACCCACTGATGTCTGAAGATAAGGTGTTGATGGAACGCAGACTCGGCCGTGGCTCCAGAAAGATGAAGCCGTGAGAAGATACGGCAAGCAAAACGGCCAAAAATACACGCAGGAGCAAGTTACAAACCAAAAGCAGATGGCCATGATTCCCCAGTGTGACCTCAAAACTGAAAATATCACTGACACAGAAACAACACATTCTTGGCCCACTCCAGTCAAATGATTGCATATTGAGCTGCCAGGCTTGATGCTTATGGGATCAAAGCTTCTGCCACTGAAAGCAAAGGCTGCCGTCCGAGGCAAAGTAACGCTGCTCAGCACTCGACACACATGAGGGAGATATGTCAGTCAGCAACACCGAGCTTCATTTCTGTGGTTAGTACCTGATAGTTGGAAACTGTAATTGGCAAATGCAGAGTTGCTGCTTTTTTCCAACAAAGGATGTTTTTTTTTTGTTTTGTTTTTTAGCAGCAATGCAGTGCTGGTGATGGTGAAGAGAAAAGGGAGATTAAAGTTTGTTTTGTTTCACCTTTTGTTGGCCAGAACATTATGAAAATTCAGATGATCTTAATGGAAATAAATAGATTAGATGGACAGCGAATGGAAACAAAACGGCTTCAGTGTCGATTGAAAACCAACTTTTTGAATAACAGATTTTTAATCTCTTAAAATTTGACTGTTTGAGCTGAGATCTGGAGTTTCACATTACTCTTTTTAGACAAAGTATTCATGTGTCGCATTACAACCACAAACTTTACAATTTATGTGATAAACTAAAATAAAGTAGCTGTTAAGTGAAAGAAGACGGATACATGTTTGTTTATTTATTGCTTAAAAAAGTATCACATCAGACAAGTTGGGGGTTAAAATTGTGGAAATTCTTACAATAGATGAAATCCTGCTCATGTGTTTGAATGGTCTAGTCAAAGTCCTGACCTACAGAAACTTCAAAATTACTGGCAAACCTTGGAGATTAATATATAGATGATCTCCAATTGAGCTGTAATTGTAATTTTTAAAGGACGTTAATCATTTGTGTTTGTAACGTGACAAAATGTGAACATTTTCAAAGGACAATAAATTCCTCGTTGAGGCTGTGCAGACCCGACGGATCGACCAGGACCCGGCATGCGCAGCTAATAAACACCGACTGAAACAAACGGCGGTGCTCATGTGAATCCTGGTGTTGCTGTTTGTGTCCAGATGGAGGAGAAGAACCGGCAGCTGCAGGAGAGGCTGGAGCTGGCCGAGCAGAAGCTGCAGCAGACCATGAGGAAGGCGGAGACGCTGCCGGAGGTGGAGGCAGAACTTGCCCAGAGGATAGCCGCCCTCACCAAGGTAGGAATGCAAACCGGTACGCACATCCCCACAGACACCCTGACCTCTGGATGTTCCTGTGCCGCCGCGTGTCACGCCATGACATCTCAACGTATTCCTTCTCCTCTTCCTCGGCCGCATAGTCCGACTCCAGCTCCTCCTCCGCCTCCCCTGATGATTATCACTTTATTATGGAAGCTAAGCTTGAAGACATGAACTCCATTCTTAGGAAGGTAGACCCACGGGGAACTCCAGCTCCTGTAGTGAACATTGTTTAGTAGCGGTCGGTTACTGGGATTCTGCTCTGGCTGTTCGGCCACCAGTGGGACAGCTGCATGGCACGCCCAGCTGGAGCTCTTACTTTGCTGCGCTGGAGAGGCTCTCCTCCTTTTCATTGTGGTTGTGATCTTTTCCCCTTTCACTCTTCCTCTCAGATTGCTCTTCCTAGTGAAGCTTTCTAAACTACACCCGTTTCTCACTTTCTGGTTCAGGGCTTTGCTTCTGTATCCGTCTCTGCTTCTTCTTTTTTTTTCTTTTTCCTGCTGCCCTTTCTGCTCTCAAACAGGCACATCATTGTGGCGCTTCTTTCTGTCCCCTCTATGTTTTAATCCATCTGTAGGCAGAGGAGCGTCACGGGAGCATCGAGGAGCGAATGAGGCACTTGGAGTGCCAGTTGGAGGAGAAAAACCAGGAGCTGCTCAGGGTGAGTCACTGCGGAGGAGTCGTGCCAGGCAACATTAACCAGGCAGCCAGTTTGATGTGACAACAACCGATGACACATTTTTGGGATTTATCACCACTGAAGCCTGACCAAATGTGTGGTTCACACGCTCTGCTGAAGGAATAGTGCTCACAAATCATCCAGCCATGTCAAGTTTATTTTAGGATTAAAATCTTCACAGCATTTCTGTTACGCTGTCACATTTTGCTGCATCATACAGACAGTTTAAAATGGATCTCTTTTGGTCCCTTTTAACACCATTTGAATAAGTGAAAACTGAGCATGTATAGAGTGCTGTCCACTTTTTTCTCACTCATAGTACATATGTGTAAAAAATGTCTTTAAAATATTCTGAAAAATCCAATTTTTAACATATTTATCGAGTAAAGGAAACAAAAAATGAGAACAAATTTTTAGTTTTCTGGAGTTATCGTTACGACAATAGGATAGAAAAGGACACTTGTTATGTAGACGATGTCTAGTGGTTGCTATGGAGACTTCGTGAAGCCAAGATACAACTCTCCAAAAACAAATTAATAAATAAAAATAAATTGGGTCGAATTTTGTTTAGTGGATTAATCTTCATGGAATACCTATAAATTTATCCACATCTGCATAAAATAAGGTTTGTTGGTCTAAACAGAATATTAGGCAAACAAAGAGTTTGGTCAGAACATCACACAAGTTGAATTAGTTTATTTAGCTTTAATCAAACTTTAAAGGCTGATGTCATTGTTGCTGTCCTTTCTTTTGGTTATTAAAAATCGTAAAATGGGTATTTTAATGAGTTGACCTTTTTAAAGATGGTTTTGATGATTAAATGTCTCCATCACACCTGCTGCTCAGAGATAATTGACATGGAGTGAAAATTAAACACACAGAGATCAGCAAATGATACAAAAATAAAAAAAGAGCACAAAACAAGCATTTCCATGGAACTTGAATGTAAAATGATTTTTATTTAAAATACAATCTTCACATCAAAAGTATAAAGACATACATTTTTTTTACTCCTAGAAGAGCACATGAAAAATCATAAAAAGGTTTAAAGAAGATGAAAAGTGAATATTTCCAAAATTTTGCAGCAGATTTTTTTTTACTGGGTTTATAAGTAGTTGAAGAATGAAGTTGCATGATTAGTTCATTTACTCTTCCTTTATCCCCCACTAAGTGAAACATGCCAGCAAACTGCAACCGTTCTGTAAGTTTTCCACATGACATAAATATATAATATTAGTTAGAAGAGGCCAGAACAATGAAACTCTTACAAAAACAATCACAGTTAAATTTTTAGCACCATATTCTGACATTTACAAGTGACTCAGCTCAGTTTGGTCCTTGCTGCGTTTTACCGTCTAGGCACGACAAAGAGAAAAGATGAACGAAGAGCACAACAAGCGACTTTCGGACACGGTGGATCGACTCCTCACCGAGTCCAACGAGCGGCTCCAGCTTCACCTGAAGGAGCGAATGGCAGCTCTGGAGGAGAAGGTCTGCAGACGGAGGGCAGCAGAGCGGAGACTCAGTCATGTCGGTTCTCAGTGACTGAATGTTGCCGTTTGTTCTCATCTTTGCAGAACATGTTGATCCAGGACTCGGATGGATACAGAAAACAGTATGAAGAGTCTATACATGAAAAAGTATGTTGTCTGGATTTGAACAATGAAATAGAAAGTTGTTTTGTAAGACTTTTGAGTTGTAGACTTTAGTTTTTATGTTCGGATGTTTGACTAGGAATTTAACGTAGTTTTCTATTGTTCCTAAAAAACATTGTAGCTCATTGATGATGATGATGATTTGCTTTGTCCAGTCTCAGCTGGCAGAGGAGATCGAGAAGCTGAGATCGGAGCTCGACCAGTACAGACTGAGGGCAGGCTCCCTCACAGAACCCACACTGTCTCGGTAGGTTGCTGGTTTGAGTCCCTGTGTGTTGGGCCTGCTACACACACGCTGTCCTGTCATTTCTCTTACAGTGAAACATGCACATGTGATGCATGTTGTGGCTGAAAATGCAAATTCTGATATCTTTGGTTTAGGCACGTATTAAAATATGTCGCTGCCGTTGACTATTGTAAGAAAACATGCAGAAGGAGCATTTCGTCACAGTTTGTACAAGATGTTTATTGTAAAATGCAATAATAGGCTAAATCTGCAGTTAAAGTGTGAAGATATTAAATTATTTCTGTTTACTGGAAGCATCTCATTCGCTCTGTTACACCACAGTTGGAAATGCTGCTTTCACGGATTTTCTGGTATTTCTGCAGATATGTCTTTTATGCACCATGAACTTTAAATATTAGAGCACTGGTGTGTTTACATCAGCAATGCTAATCTGGGCCATAGACGATTTAAAGGCACAAACCGTGAACATTCATTCTGCTTGAGGGAGGCTGTGATTGGTTTGCTGCCTGCTTAGCTGAACATTTTCCGTCTCTCATCCTTCATTTTCCAACTCACCACTTTAGTGATTGGTCTAAAGACAGAAAACAAGTCCAGACGTGATTCACCTTAAACACAAGTTGGTTTGGTTTTAGGGGAACAACGCAGAGAAGTTGATGCTTGATTTATTAAATGTGCGTTTTAGGTCTCATCTCGACGCATCGGCTGAGCTTCGCTTCTCGTTGGGATCTCTGGCGGAAACCCAGTCGGACCATTACCGCTCAGCCAAAGTCATCCGCCGGCCGAGAAGGGGGCGAGTGGGTCTACGGGAAACAAAGGTGAGACGCATTCACTGCAGTTCACCTGCAGCGCTTTGCTTTAGGTTCATTTGAGACAGAACATCAGGGTCTTTGTAGGGGAAAGAAAAAAATATATTTCCATGGAAGAGTAAACTCAATTTTACATAATCCTAAGAAAAAACTTGGATATTCTGTCTAGAACTAGAAGGAAAACACAGAACAACTAAGATTCTCTGACATTATTAAATCAGACATTTCTTAGTAGAGAGATTTTTCTGATAAAATTTGATATTTTTCTTACAAATTTCTAAATATTTAATATTATACCTTTATGCGTTTATTCATTTTTCTGGCAAATTGACAATTTGTCTCTCATTTAATATCAAAAACCTTATTCCTTGAAGAAAATAAACTTGAAGCTGCCAGTGGTGTGAATCATTTTAAGCTGAACTCACTTAACCTTTTCCCAAGAAAATGTTTTTATTTTTAGAAATGATTTTGTTTCCATGCCCAGGCCAAATCGCTTGGCGAGCACGAATGGCGCTCGCAGCAGCTCGGCGTTCTGGGAGGCCCCCACTTCGAGAGCGACACCGAGATGTCGGACATCGACGACGACGACAGGGAGACGCTGTTCAGCTCCATGGACCTTCTCTCCCCCAGCGGCCACTCCGATGCACAAACTCTGGCCATGATGCTCCAAGAGCAGCTGGACGCCATCAACAAGGAGATACGGTACAACAGTTATGCTGAAACTCTGCTCCATTACACTTTTTACATTTGCATGTAGCTAATAATTTTTTGTTCTATCCCTCGAAACAACACCAGAACAACACGCCTCTTAGCTCCTGGTGCTGTAATAAAAATGTGCTGATCAGTATTCATCACCTGAAGCACAACTTCACTTTATTTCAAGGAGTGTCAATAAGCTTGTTGCTGATTTGCATTCACCCCAACAGAAACGGATCAGCATTCCTTCTGCAGCCACTTCATTTTAGTCTGACTGAATGTAATGATCATGAATCCTCTGAGTTTTCCTCTCAGCTAATTACAGAATTAGATCCTGGATATACTTCAAATGGATTACCTTACGTTTAGCCCTTAATTAGTTCGCTTCAGTCTGAAGGTATTCCGGGGCTTTTGTGCAGATTTTTTCCGAAGCACACCCTGAAGACCAGAACGTAACAGTAAATTCTGGAACAATCTCGCTCTCTTGGCATTGAGCCCTCTAAATGTGCACAATTTACCACAACAGGGGCTGTTATTACCAGTTAAACTGCTTTAAGTTCTGCTCCAGAACATTTACAGCACAATAAATGCGCTCCAAATCGTTCTTGGTTCAGGCTGATCCAGGAGGAGAAGGAGTCAACGGAGCTGCGAGCGGAGGAGATTGAGAACCGGGTGGCCAGCGTCAGCCTGGAAGGCCTTAACCTGGCCCGTATGCACCACCATGGAGCCTCCATCACTGCCTCAGCCACAGCCTCCTCCCTGGCCTCCTCTTCCCCACCCAGCGGCCACTCCACCCCTAAACTGGACCCTAGAAGCCCGGCACGGGACATGGAGCGCATGGGAGTGATGACTCTGGTAAGATGTGCACCATATCACACGTATCCTTTTTTTTTGTCTAGAAAACTGAGGACACATTAGTTGTCTAATCTTGGTGTTTAAAAGTGATTTAGCAACAAAAATGACCCTGTTTACTCATAGCCAAATATATTGACAAAAAAGTGATTTTAGCTGAGGTTTCATGTGTCTTTATGGATCTTCCTCATGAAATTACAGAAGATGTCAGTTGCTCTGACCCTGAGGACTTTTAAAAGTTTTTTTAAAAAAAAACCTTTTGTGAGGCACAGTAGCAGCTTGAAAGTAAAACGTTTTTCTTCTCCCAGCACTGAAGTTTAATTAGATGCAGCAGATAGTTCATGCAGTGATAATAGTATGTAGTTGATCTCATTAAAAATCCACTCGCATCCCCCGCAAAACCGCAATGAATGTGATTAAAACAAATATTCTGCATGTTGGTGAAGTCCTGATCACTTTCTGTTCAAATACTTCACCATCAGCTGAGTGAGGTACATTTATCTCCCAACAAAATGAATCCCTCAGTACTAACCACTCAGCATATATGGTGATTTAAAAAATATTCTTAAAAAATGCAATTTTACAACTGGCCGGTCACATATCAGGAGCAACCATGATGAAAATCAGACAATTTCAAACTATTTTTTGTTTGCAGTTCCTTTAGGAAGAGACGATGCATCGGCCCAGATGGGGGCAAGAGGAATAAATGGTTCTAAAAATAGGATGCAAATCCGCCACAAGGTTATGATGTGTAAATGCATTTCTTTTAAAGGCTTTGATGTTGTTGATCAAATGACTGGTTTGTCTGAACAGACGTTTGGCAGCAGCTCATAGGTTTCTACTAGTGCATGATGTTTATATTCAGTGCCAACTTTTTATATGCCGTTTACTGTTTCATCCTTGTTTTCACACACGCATACTGACATGTCAATATTACCATCTTTTTTTTTATCTCTCCATTCTGCAGCCCAGTGATTTGAGGAAACACAGGAGAAAGGTACAGGCAGCAGCAGCACGTTTGATGAACGTATTTACATTTAATGCTGTAACGGCTCCATGAAGGAACTGTTGGCTTGTCGGGTTTTCAGATTCATGTTGCTCCCCTTTGTCCTCGTCCCTCAGATAGCAGCCGTGGAGGAGGATGGCCGGGAGGACAAGGCCACCATCAAATGCGAGACGTCGCCTCCTCCGACGCCGCGCACCGTACGAATGACGCACACACTGCCAGCCTCCTCGCACAACGATGCACGAGGGTACGCTTTCTGCTCAGACATTTATAAAAAAAAAAGACTTGTAAACCTCTCTTTCTCGCCAGCGTTGTCCATTTACATTTATGCCCTCAGGATTGTGGCTTCTCTGGAGGCTGAAGCCAGTGCCCTAAGTAGCGTAGCCAGCAGCCAAGACTCCCTGCACAAACAGCCGAAGAAGAAAGGGATCAAATCCTCCATCGGGCGCTTGTTCGGCAAAAAGGAAAAGGGCCGACTGGCACATCTAGCACACAGACAGGTCATGGTAGATCCACAAGGTCAGCGGTGCTTTCAGAATTATGGGTACAATTTAAAAAGTATTAAAGTTGTTTCAAACCTAGAAGAAGAAAAAATGTGAATAATATAGAAAAATGGCGACGCAAAATATTTAAGTGCTACAGTTTTTGATAGGGCTAAGGTTTTTGTTTAGAAATTATGAAATAGACAGAAGTGAATCGCTATTTTAAGTAAAATTATGTACAAAACTAGAAAATGAAAAGCCTTACTTTTATGTCTTTTGGTCCTTCTTTGACATTTTACTGAATGGTGGTGATTGGGATTCTTTTTAGTTCATTTTACCCAAAGATCTAAATAAATCCATGTCCTTTAAATGTCAACATCGAAATTAAATAAGCCCCAACTGAACTGCATGGCAAACTTGTTAAAATGTTCTAATTGTACAGAAAATAGAAGTCAGCTTCTGACTTTAACATGTTGCTAAACGGGCACCGTGTGAGGCTAACAGGAATGATTAAAGCTATAAATCACTCTCACAGATGCTGAATGTCTTGCACAGGAAATGAGACGACATATCTTTGTTTGCCTATATAAAATCTTAATGTTTGTGCGTGACATTAAAAAAGAAAGCTAAAATGTACTGTTTCTCCTTTTGCATCAGCCACAATGATGGACCTAGACGCGTCGGGCCAGGACATGGGAGTGGGCAAGCTGGGAACTCAGGCTGAGAAGGACCGCAGATTGAAAAAGAAGTAAGATCATGAGTTCTTAACTAGAAATGTGTTAAAACGTGACACACTCTCTTCTGAAAACACACTTCCTGCAACTTGTACAGTCAAATCCATTCTTTAAAACACAGCCGGCCTCCGTTTCCAGCGTTTAGCTGACCCTGCAGCACTCGCTTCACTGTATGAAATAGTAAATCCGACGCTGAGAACAGTCGGTAGACGGCAGAAGCCGGATCAGTGTCCAGGAGCGGATATCAGTGTTGCTGTATTCAAACACAGAGTCAGACTATTGATCCAGCCTGAAGAGCCAATTAATCCCACAGAGGTGCTCTGTCAATTTAGTAGCCATAGGCGGCTTTCCCAACGCAGCACTGGTACATTACACTTCAGAGTGTACACAATATGCAGTATGCGTGTGATTGGGTGTGTGTGTGTGTGCATTTGCCATGCTCCGGTGCCAAATGATGAATGTCATTTGCTCGAAGTGCACATTGAGTTGTCATGACAAATAACTTTGCCTCCCATGTAGTTGGTCAATATAAAGTGGTTGTTGTATGACAGATGTGCTCTTTTCCTTCCACCGCACCGACTTCTCCATAGCGGCGTCCGGGACCCGGGCCTCGCCACCACCCTGCATCTTGGTGCCTCCTCCACACTGCATGCCATTATAAGCTGCCTGCACTTTCTTTCCATTTCAGCATCTTGATCGATCAAACTAAACGCTGTGGTGTCATTGTGGACTAGTGTATTTTTCCTCCAAAAAGTACCTGAATGTAACTGAGCATTTGAATGTAAGGCCATGGAAGTTGGGGTTGGGGGGAGTTCTTGTTGTTTCAAAGCATTTCTCATTCCCTCTGCTGCACGAGATGTGTAGAAGACGACATCTTCTTTCACTGGTCTACAGATGCTCCTGTTAAACGAATGTCCTCCATAGTGAGACGTGTTTGTGTGTGTGTGTGTGTGAGCGAGTGTGTGTGCATGTGTGTTTTTAAAGTCATTTTGTTAACTGCCTTTTATCACATTAACATTTGTGTACTTTTGTCTCCCCGTCGCTCTTTCTCCCCCTCTTTCTCTCTGACCCTTCCTCTCCCTTTCATCATCCTCTGACTCTAACAAAGCGGGTAAGTTGTTGTGAGGATGTCTAACTGACCTCCTGGATTTGACCATTGTTTGAGCCATTTTTGCGCTGTCTGCCATCTCTCCTGTCTGTCCCACCATGTCCTGAAAGAACCAGTGCCAAAGCTGACGTCTCTTATCTATCTACCCTTTCTTTGTGGCTGTTAACGAAGCCATTGCTTTTCTTTCTGTTTTCATTTACCATCTGAAGATGTTTCTTCCTCCCCCACTCCCACTTTCTACAGCTCAATGGCAGCTGCGCCTGCGGCAGGATAGAGGTTGAGCCGCCGCTTAAACCGGGGCTTAATTTTCACACCCAAACTCTCTTCTCTCCTTTTATGTGTCTCTCTTTCTCTTTCTGTGTGTGAAGTAACCAGCTACAGTATCTGGTTATGGGCGTGTTTAAGGTTTTTTTTTTTCTCAGTTTTTGATTTATCATGACTTTTTCCTGACTTCCCTCTCCCCAGCTATGTTCAGTGGATGTATTTCACCATGCATTAGACGCAGGCTGAACATAAAACATCAACTATATCTCCCCCATTTGCTAAATAGATTAAGACGGTGAATGTACTCGGTTGTATTTGGATGAACGCATTTCTTCTACCATCTGTAGGCTTTTTGTTTGCTGTGATTAGTGCCTTGCAGAAGCATTCATGCAACTTGAACTTTTTTTTGCATTTTTTTAATTCTACAACTTCAAATTCAAATGCATATTATTCAGACGGAAGAAAAATGATACATATTTAGCATTTTTCTCAATAAAAAAATGCTTAGAATAGAAAATACTTTTTGTCGTTTAATTATATATTCAGAAGTGTTCAACTGTTAGCTTTGTCGTTGCATTTCAGTGAAAATCCTCCATATGTTGAACATTTTAAAGAAACCCCCCGTTCTGTGTGATGCAGGAGTTCAGGACCACAACGGCCCACAAATGGATGGAATCCAGAATTACTTGAAACCCTCTAAGAGTGTTAATAGCTGCACACGTAAATACTTCAAACAACAAATATACCTTACTATTTATTAATATGCACAGATGGAAATGCAAACAGCATCCACCAACCAGTGCCAAAGACAATTAATGAGGCTCCTGGATTGGCAGATTGATGCAATCAAGTATGAATTGGTAATTAATTACATATGTGTCTGATAAGGTATTTGAATACTAGTTCAGATGGCAGAATGGAACATTTGCATTCGACTCTGCAATTAAATGTGATTAAATTGTGTTCATTTTTCTTGACAAAGTGACAGACCAGATAACGAAAATGGAAAACATCCAAATATACCCACTTAACTACAAATGCATGCCGCACCTTTTAGATTTTTGTGTAAAAAAATATACAAAGATTATAATTATTATGCACTACTTTGTGTTAGATTATCACATTTTTGAAGTTTGTAGCTTAAAAATGACAAAATGTGAAAAAGTTTAAGGGGTGTAAATACTTTTGCAAGCTCACTGTATGTTGTGATAAAGCACCTTTTCACTCTAAGGTCTTTAATGTTTTGGTGCTGCATATATCATGTTTATTTATTTGCCCACTCCTTCAATTTGTGAAGCCCGTTGACAACACACCTAAGGAATGGGTTGTGGAGTTTTTTTTTTTTTTTTGGTATGAAATGTGTTCACAAACCAGAATCATGATTTATTTCTGTGTAGGTATGAGGATGTGTTTGTAAGGTGCTTCTGGCTGTTAAACAACCCTCCGTCTCAGCGTGGGAGGATTCAGTACAATACAAATAGCCGTGTGCATGACAAACCGAAGGGATCTATTCACTGCTTCTAGTCAATAAGGTGCAATTTACATCACGCTGACTAGGTCGGCTCCAAGTGAGGCAAAGCGAAACCTTACTCAGCTCTCTCAGGATGCACTTCGCCACCTGCTAGACAAAACCATGGAGCGCAGCCCAGAAAATCAGAGCAAAAGTTGCTCATAAAATACCCTACTGCATAATTCAAACACTGCTTCAGAAATGTCTTTGTACGAGTACAAAAGCAAAAAAATAAAAAATCAGGATCAGCAGATTAAAGTGTGAGTGGTTGAACTGGGATGAGTTTGGAAATCCTGCTGGTGTTAAAAACTGAGCAGTGAAGCGTCGTCCAGGTGGACGTTTGGTTCGACGCTCGGCCCGCGCCGTTAGACGCTTTTCAAGAAAACGCTCATCTAAATGGGTTATGGTGTCATAATATATATGATGTCTTGTAAATATGTTCATCCCTGTTTTACTTCTTCGCATTTTTCATGTTACAACAAAAAACATGGGTGGATTTTGAGGTTCACTCCTTCGGGTTTTTGTAAGATGTTCGAAGCTAGGGACTTTGACTTCATAAACCATCTACACATCACATAAAATTTCAATAAAATACATTGAAGTTTGAAATTGTAACATGTCAAAAACATGAAGAGTTCAATGTGTAGGAAATGCCAGGGAGCAGCAGGATTTGAATGCCTGTGTGAAAGAGTGTGTATCTCTGAGAGTGCGGCTAGATTCTCCACTCTGGAAGCACAGAGATAAATGATAAAGCGTTGCCCTTTTCAGCATGCTTGGTGTGCAGGCTGGTCTCGGAGATAAAAGCGAGCGGGAGCGCTAACCTCTCACGCACTGCACACACAGAGGAAGAAAAAAACTCCATGCACACGAGATAGAACAACAAAAGCACGGCGGTGTTACTGGAGCGATTTGGGTAAAGCGTGTGAGGGTGCCAGCGTGTTTAATATCAGACCGCTCGGCTGTATGTTGGAGACGTACAAGTTCACATGTTCACTCCGGGTCTCCTCTGCCCTCAGGCACGAGCTTTTGGAGGAGGCGAGGAGGAAAGGATTACCGTTTGCGCAGTGGGACGGCCCCACAGTTGTAGCCTGGCTGGAGGTAAACGCCGTTTTCTGTTCCAGGTCGACTCAAACCTGAACCTTTTCAGCACTTTACAGCTTCCAGGACTGTGTTCAAGTGTATTTTTCTCTCCAAGCCTCTTAATTTATCAGTTGCATTACAGACTCATGGTTCACATAGACATAAAGACAAAGACATGATGCATAACTTAGAAAAGACATGCATACCGATGTTTCCACAAACCCGACTGGTATCGTAAGATGGAAAAGCAATGGACTGAAGCAACATGTTGATGTTTAAAGGACAGGTTTCAGCAGGAATAAATAAAAATAAGTGAAAGACATGATGATAATGCTGGAAAAGACACAATATTCAGTCATCTCTGCTAAAAACAGCAGTAATATGTTTGAGCAGCTCTTATCTACGAGACGGATGAGTGAAAGCACAGTGAAAGTCAGCACTGTCCTCATCGCCCTCCCGGTTTTCTCTGCAGTTGTGGTTGGGAATGCCAGCCTGGTACGTGGCGGCGTGCCGTGCCAACGTGAAGAGCGGCGCCATCATGTCGGCGCTTTCCGACACCGAGATCCAGAGGGAGATCGGAATCAGCAACCCGCTGCACAGGCTCAAACTTCGCCTGGCCATCCAGGAGATGGTCTCCCTCACCAGCCCCTCGGCCCCGCCCACCACCAGAACCGTGAGTCACGGTCGCAAACATTTGTGGAAAGTTGCACCTGGCTTGAAGGAAGAAACAATTCATAATTTCTGGAAAATAATTTAAGATTTGCTTGATTTAAACATTGGTGAAATTCAGACATGTTGCTTTAATAGCTCCCTCTAGTGGGTCAATATCCACAGCTAGCATATCTCATGACAGACTGAGGTTGAATGCTCAGAAAAATAAAACAGAGCTGGCTGTATTATGTCGTTGTTCCAGTTAAAGTCTTGCTCTCTCTCACTGTCTAGCAGCCTGAATGACCGACAGATAGCTCTAAACATGTCATAGAAAATAGTTTCCATTTAGTTTTACTTTCCAAATGGGCAGGCATCAGTTTGAACCCATCAAGCAGGAAATGATGTCACCATTGGATGTTTCTGTGCACCTCTAACACTAACAGGGTCCATTTTAAAGGTTCACACACAAAGGACACGTATTTAAGTTGGCATTTTTGCATGCAGCCCCCATAACTAAAATGCTTGATCATGTTTTGACTCTTCCCTCCTCCTCAGTTGTTGAATAACTACGATGGTACTCATCCCCCAGGTCCCTCTTTCCTTTCCTGTCTTTTTGCCCATTTTGCTCGATTTCCGGAAATTTTACTCCAGATCCCCAATTTGAAACTATTCATATGTGGCGTCTTGGATTCTGTTTTATCTGTCATTTCTGAACAAACAATCACGGTCAGACTGAAGACTCTTGTTAGATTTTTGGTTTTTAGTGCAGTTATTGTGATTTTTCATCAGCACAGTTCCACTGGTAGAGTGAGCAAAATCTTCCAACTTATTTTTCGAGAAGACCTAGTTTTTGTTGAGCTCCTACTGAATGCACTTAGAGATTTTCTTACTGAGGAAGTGGATGGTGAGGGATGAGTAACATGGCATATTTGTCTTTTCATGTAATAACGTTTCTTTTGCATGGCATTGTCTTTATTTACATTACTTAATCCTATGCCAGCATTGAGATGTTCTGTGCTGTACTGTGTTTCTTTTGTCCTTTGCATATTTTCTTTGACCCCTGGTGGGTTTCATCATCTGACCATGATGCTATAACACTATTGGCTTACAGTGGTGCTGCTCTTCTTCTTTAACACTGCTTGCCCCTCCTACTGGACCTCTACCACTCTGTCTCTTGGGCTTCGCCCGTTGTAGCCGTCAGGCAACGTATGGGTGACCCATGAGGAGATGGAGACCCTGGCAGCTCCTTCCAAAACGGTCAGTCCCTGTGCGTCCTGTCAGCCGTTTCTTCCTGCCTCAGTTAACATCTCAGCGTAGATTAAAGGCGGCCATTGATGGTGATTGACAGTTAAAATCTCTCCTACACTTTGTAATAAAATGTGAACAATATTTTTGTCATAAATATGCAGAGTTCATTTTCAAGAATGTGGACACGTTTATAATCCTGCCTTTGGAAAGGAACTGGTCAAATCTGTTTGACTTTGAGCATAAAGCAATGATTTTAAAGCAACTACAGTATTTTTCTTATTCTGTCCCAAAAATTGCCTAATTAGTTTTTTTTATATTGTCAGAAGTCAGATTCTGAAGAGGGGAGCTGGGCGCAGGTGAGGCCACAAGCTTTTCATCCGGTCATTCAACACAACTGCAGAGAGCTGCATCTTTTATTTGCCTTTTCATCGTTTCACCTCAGACCCTGGCTTATGGAGACATGAACCATGAGTGGATAGGAAACGAGTGGCTGCCCAGTCTCGGACTACCTCAGTACCGCAGCTACTTCATGGAGTGCCTGGTGGACGCCCGCATGTTGGACCACCTCACCAAGAAGGACCTGAGGGTGCACCTCAAAATGGTGGACAGCTTCCACAGGTACCTCCTCACTTCCACTTTGCCATGGATTTTAGTAACACCAACATTAATAGAATTTCCTTAATCTTACTTTACTATATCAAAAGTTGTGGTTCTGATGTGGAATAAGGTTCTAAACGTTTCTAGCAAACAGTGCAACAACTTTCACTGTGTGTGCTTTTCCTGACATCAGAACAAGTTTACAGTATGGAATCATGTGTCTGAAGAAGCTCAATTACGACAGGAAGGAGCTGGAGAGACGCAGGGAGCAAAGCCACCATGAAATAAGAGGCAAGAATAGCAACCATTCCAGTCGTGATGTTAAATATTTCTTTTTATTAAAGTTAATGTTTGCGCCTGCAGATGTGCTGGTGTGGAGTAACGAGCGGGTCATCCGCTGGGTGCAGAGTATAGGCCTGCGGGACTACGCCAACATCCTGCTGGAGAGCGGCGTGCATGGCGCTCTGGTTGCCCTTGACGACAACTTTGACTACAGCAGCCTGGCTCTGCTTCTCCAGATCCCCACCCAAAACACTCAGGTGCTGCAGGCGATTTTATCCACCTATCTAGAGAGTGAACGTCAAATACTTTGAATATCTACCAACAAATATGGACAAGCATTGATTTTTAAAGCTCTAGGTTTAAAAATATGAAATATGGGTGATTTTCACATGTGGCATGGCGATTGTCGTGTGTCAGCCGCCTCTGTTGCCACGCCGCTGAAAATAGTTGGACTGGTGAAAATTAGCGTTTGATGTAATTTCCCTTTGTTACTCATTTTCCTTCAGGCACGTCAGATTTTGGAGCGAGAGTACAATAACCTGCTGGCTCTGGGCACCGACAGGAGACTGGACGAGGTGAGCTGCAGCGTCGCCACAAACAGAAACGTAACTCTGTGCAAAGCTATTCTCACAACGTGAACTTCTAATTTATGTTTTAGTACAATTCTGGGAAGAAGGGAAAAAAGTTACAAGCAGCTTCCCATATTACTTGTACGTTAATGAGCTTTTTAGGGCTATAACATGTTAAGATTCATCTGTATGGTCTAATAAGTAGCAAACATGCTGGTTTCTTTGTTTTGCAGAGGTCAGTTTGACATTTAGAGTAACATTAGCGCCCTCTAGTGTTTACAAAAGTAATCACTAAACTTTTTAATACTGCTTCAGTCTGTTTTGATGTCCAAACTAGTATATCATCCCAAAAACTACAAGAGATGAAAAACTACAGTTTATTAGCTCTTCACTTTTGCTTTGACCTGTTAAAGATAGTCGGAGTTCTGACATTTTACATTGTTTTCTTTTCATATAAACCTCAGATCACAAAGAAAATTTGATGTCTTGTATATTCTAAGAACACGTTTTTACTTCCTCTGTTCAGTGCGACGACAAAGACTTCCGGGGTCCGTCCTGGCGGAGACAGTTTCCTCCGCGGGACGTCCACGGCATCAGCATGATGCCTGGGTCGGCAGAAACTCTTCCAGCTGGGTTCCGGCTCATTGCGACCTCGGGTCATTCCAGAAGACTGCCCCCTGATGGTAAGAGTCGTCGCTTTCCTTCTGCCGGCTTGACTCGGTCCATAGACTGCTGTAAATCTGGATATTTGAGTGAAGCAGCCGAGTTTAAAGCAGCAGCAGCAGCAACACACCTGAGGAGGAGTTTGAGCTGCTGCTTCATTCTGACTGTCTCTTGTTCTCTCTGACGGCTGCTCTGCAGTACTCTTTGAGGTGCTGGATGACAGTCCTGACGACATGTATTTGGACTGGTTTCAAGGTCAGCTATGTCCACAAAAAGTTCTGGGCTTTTCAGCCCCGCGTCCGTACTAATTCTACATGATCCTTCTCATATTCACCCAACTTCTGCCAACCACTGTCCTGCTGTTTCTCTCCTTAAAATAGTAATTTTCTTCTACTTACCCTTTAAGTACAACAACCCTTTAAGTACAACACTTAGGATTCAGGCTTTATGGAGTGTTAACAAAAGGTAGACAGGTTATGTTTAACTGGAGGGTTTCTAATTCTTCATGGAAAGAAGACATTGGCTAACATGGGTCTGCACTAAAGGTCAGTACTGGTCTGCTGCAGAAAAGTTTCAGACGTCAATAAGGGAAAAAGAAAATCTTTTTGCTTTGGTCAACCCTGATTTCCAGTAGTTATTTATTTGGAGCTTGTTTCAGTTTTGTAAAGTTGATTTTATACAAAGAAATTGTGAGATTTCTTTTGTCTAAACTCAAATTTGAACACAAATTTATGAGCTTAACTGTCTAATATAATTTGGCGTCACTTGTTTAATCAAATGTGAAATTTAAAAATCGATTTAGTGACCAAAGTTTGTTTTAAAAACGGCTCCAGTGCAATAGATAGTATATGGTAACTCTTCTCTGAAATGATTTAAATTTACTCCAGCCATTCACGTCCCATTAAAACATTGCCTGCTGGTGCCCAGTTTGAATTTTTTTCTGCATGAATTGCTTAAAATCAGCCTTGTTGAGTAGCGGGTCCAGTACTGTCCTTTAAGTGGATGCAGTCCCTTTAACGGCCTTCCGTTCTGCTCGACTAGGAATGGATCAATTTCTGGCCAGTGTCCTCTAACTATTTGTTCCCTATGACACTGAAACAGCTTTCCTGTGTTCCTTCATCTCTAATCTCTGTGCTTGCTGGTCTGTGACGCTCACGAAATACTAAAAACGACTCATTTGTGGTTCCCACTCAAAACAAAACCTTCCCTGGTGTGATTTGTGGCTTTCAGGTTGACTGGAAATAAAAATGTTGCTTTGTCCATCAAGAGTTTGCGATCTGAAGCAGCACATTTGTTTGTGTCCACCTGCAGTCGGACCGTCTGCGGTGCAGCGGCTGGACAGCTCAACGGTGAGAACCTACTCCTGCTGAGAGGAGGAAGCGGGGGACCTTAAACTGTACGCTGTATGTAACACAACACAGTGTCTCGCTCGGTTTTACTGGTAGCTCTTAAAAAAATGTTTCCATAAGGATATTTCATTAGCTTGGCAAACGGAGGACATGTTTTTGCCAGGTGACGATACGAAACAGCAGGAAGAGAAACAAACCTGTAGCACATCCTTTAATGTCTGTCCAGAAAGGATTATTTAGAGCTCCACCCTTGCAAACACATTCCTAACATATCAAAAAGTGAAACCCAGACCTGATGCATATTTCTAGGATTCTGTCACTGTAGTGCTGTGAAAGTTGATGCATTATTGTGCCAGTGCTTCCCTGTGCAGGAGGAATACAGAGGGTTAAATCCAGTTCCTTATGTTGAACTGCTGCCAGTATTCTAATTAAGGTGATGCAAGCACTTGCAATTACACGCAGAAGATAGTTCAAGGTTGATGAGGCAAAAACTAAATGTAGTCTAAAAACCTTAATGCATATTGATGCTTTTTACAATAAAGAGAAAACTGGATTTAAAGATGTTCCAGTAATATTCTGCAAATGAAGCAGTGTTGGGTCCTGAAGGCGTTTTGACGTGTTCAGCTCTGATCTGACACCACCAACCTTTCCTTCCCAGCTACAGTTCTGAACCAAGAGGCCGATCCGCCGACAAACAATCCCATGACACGCACTGCCAAGAAGCCCTGCTCTCCTCTCGGACCCCGTCCTCCATGACTGGTGACGCCGGTGCTAAACTGTCCTGCAGGATGCCTCGTCACCATTTCTACCTTTTACATGTAAAGTAACTTGTCAGAGCATAATGTACTGTGTATTTCTTCTACAGGGGACGTGTAGGTTATCTGTAAATTCTTATAAATATGCCATTTTTATTATATACACAAAACATCTATGTATTAAAAAAAGGGTTTGTGCAAAAAAGAAAAGAAATGTCCCTGCCACCTCATTTAGTGGACCATAGATGAATATATGCTGCTCTTTAAACTCTCCATTAGACCCTCGTTCCTCTAGATCATTTTGTACATATGGTTTTATTTTTTCATTGTGCTAATGGAAATTTACGACTAACCTGTTCTGGAACATAGAAGGGAAGAAACTCGATGTTGTGCCAAGCTGCCCTCTAGTGGTGGGCTACTCTAACAACACGGGACGGAGGATTCGTCGGCTCACTGGAACAACAGAAGCACCTTCATACATCTGCATCAACTCAGACTATTTAGAAGCCAAGGACAAAACAAGACGCTCTCTGAAGGTGCACAACTTCAACTCAGAGAGCAGAACAGCATCCCAGACGTCGCGTGTTACTGTATGTTTCGTCAGGCAGCACATCAACACACTTACAGCCGAGCTGGCCTTTCTACCCCGCCCCTCCTGTTAACAGAACAGATGATATAACTGGAAGACAGACTGCTTTAGCTCATAGTGTGTGTAGAGTGTTTATGACCATGTTGAAGTGAGGTGACTTAACGATTAAAAGATAAAAAACCTGTTGCTTGCTGTGACTTCCATCTGGGTGTAAATGTTCTTGGTTTCAGTCAGTTGTCAGGGTAACCTGTTGTACAGGCCTGCGTTCTTTCCGACGGACAGCAAACGTCTCGTTTGTTTTCACATTTGCACGAATGAGCATTCATTTTTGTTTCCGATTTTTCTTTTTTAATTTATTACTTCTTGTACTTTGGTCAAAACTAAGTGGTGAGCAAACAAGTTTTCATTGTCAATAAAAAATAGAAACGGTTAGTGAGCTGTTTGCATTAGTTTTCATTAAAAATGTTTACAAAGTTAAGTGCAGTTTGGTTTTACCTCATCAGTAATTTACTTACAAAAATGATTAGTGGAATAATTTCTCTAAAATATTCGTTTTCCCATGTGTTCAATCTGCATGTCGTCTCCAGACGTTTTCTACTTGCCTCTCAATGTCTTCGAACACATCTGGGTCCTCGATGGTTGGCGTAATCTGTGCAGAGAAATATTTAAAAAGTTCAAATCTAAAACGGCTATTTATAAATATATTTGAAGAGGAAAAAAGTTCCTCGTAACATTTGATAAGTTTATGATTATTGTAAAGTGCTGAGGTCATCACGTCCCACCTTGTAGGGTTTGCCGTTGACCAGGTTGGCCAGAGAAGAGCGGGGGATTTTTCCGGAACGCGTCTTCGGTAACCGGTGGACGAAGAGCACGTTCCTGAAGGCGGCTACAGGTCCGATGGTGTCTCTCACCAGCTTCACCACCTCCTTTGTGATTTCTTCCTCAGTTTTCTGCACATCTGACAAAACGTGATGCAAAAACCCAGAATTATTTTGTAAAAAAATCAGAAAAACATGTCAAGAATTTGGATTCAGCCTCCTTGAAGGAAAAAGATGCATCCAAGTTTGTAATATGATAATAAGCAAAGACGTACTTTTGTAAGGCGCTTCGTCTCTCTTACCTTTTTTAAGTACACACAGCGCCAAAGGAACGTGGCCCTTCAGAGAGTCCTCCAGACCCACCACAGCGCAGTCCCCCACCGCAGAGTGCAGCAGCACCGACTGGAACACAAACACGTCCTTGTAACTGAGGAGAAATCATTAAATCAAAGCATATTCATGAGAATCCTCTGCAATGGTTCTCCCACTTCCTCTAATGCTCCAGCAGACAGCCTGTGACCCGCCACGTTGATGACGTCATCAGAGCGGGACATGATGTAAAGGAAGCCCTCCTCATCCAAAAAGCCGGCGTCCATGGTGTCATAGTAGCCCTGGAAAAGAAGGATTGCACAAGAGGAAACCTAAGTGCATTATATTTTAGATCAAAAACTGGCAACATTTTACTAAAACATCTTGCATAGGTTAAACAGATCAGGCAATTCTGCAATATCAAGTTTAAACACTAGAGGTCTACCTTTCTCTACTAAAAATATATTTCTTTCTCCTCTGAAAAGCAAAACTGACCACAGCATAAAGAACATTAAAATGTGAAGATAAGTTTTAAATACTTTGCTTTAGAAGCAACAAACTACTTACTGGAAACTTGGAGAAGTAGAGCTCCTTGAAGAGATGCTGGTTTTGCCACAAGGACAGTGCAGCTCCAGGCGGTAGAGGAAGCCTGAGGGGAAGAGTGCAGAATTAACTATCTATTAAAAATATCCCATCTTTGAAGAAGTTTGAGATCAATTCAAATACCAAGACTTTTTTTAATTCAGCGCAGCCAAGCTGTGCTAGACCTTCGCTGACCCTGTAACAGGCACCCAAACAAACAAAACGCACAGAAAGGAAAGGTCAGGAAGTCGATGTTTACCAAGAGACGACCAGTAATCCCTCCATGTCCTGAACCCTAAATCCAGCTGAGCAGAGGGAGTCAGCGTTATGTTCTCGCTCTCATTTTAAATCAAAGCTATTTAGAAGCCCAGTGGTGCATAAACTAAACAGATAAATATCCCAGCTGAAGCAGCTGCACATGAACAAAGTGAAAACTCATCAGTTTTAGAACGGGATGCTTCCAGACTACACTTCTTGCATCTTTCTGATAAAAGACAAAGAGCTGTAACACACTCAAATGTGTGTGTATGCACTCAGGCACTTTTTGCAAAGCTGCAGATCCAGTTTGAGAACGAAACAGAAGAAACGTCCAGATTTTCTCCTCCAGCCAGCAGGAACAATAACACAGCTGTTCCCGTCCATCTTAAGGGCTCACACTCTGTCACTGCATATTGGAAATCCCCCCTCAGCAGCGCTCGGTCATTACCAGCGTTTTTAAAAACTGCAGGGGAGTGGAGGGTGATAACGGACAGAGAGCAGGCTGGCACTGGGAGCGGCACAGAAACAGCCCGGCTACGTTCAGCGAGGTCCACTTAGCAACCGTTTCATAAAAACATTTCCATTAGCGGCACTTTGCTCCCAGAAACACCAGAATTTGGAGTCTGACGAATGCTGCCCGTCTGAGTTCGTAAGTGTAAAACACTCCTGTATTTTACTGAATGTGTGTAAGATAAAAAAAAAAAACACGCATAAAACAAGCAGCTCACAGGTCAGCTTGGCTTACCTGACAACAATATTTCCCAGAGTTCTTGGCTTCAACTCCTGCATGTCATCATCGATCACAGTGACTAAAAAAACAGGAAACAGGAAGGCTGTATGAACACTAACTGAACATTTTATAGATTTTAAAACAAGATTACATGTTATCATCAAGACAGTGACGACAGGGTTCCAACACGTCTAAAGCCAAAACCTCAAACTAAAGTTTCCAGAGCTCACAATCCTTCTGAAGCCTTTGCTTTTATTAATCTGTAAGTTAGTGAGAGTAAATTAAAAATAATGAAGATAATGGCAGAAATTTCAACAATAATCAGGTTTAAAATCTGAAACCCAGACTGGATGGATGGATGAGCAGATAAAAGGTGACAGAGGATGAAAAAATGGAGGGATAAATAGATGGAAGGATGGATGGGATGAGATAGAGACTGATGGGTGGATGCTGTACTATACCGACGATACAGAAAAGGACAGATGGAGGGATCAAAGGATGATTCATGGATGAATGGATGGCAGATGGAGAGAAAGACGGATGATAGATGTACAGGACAGGATGCAGAGAAGGAGAGAAAGATGAACAGATACAATGATGGACAGACAAAAGGACAAATAATAAATGAATAAACTGATTTGTTTAAATAGATGGACAGAGCGAGAGGCGGCAGAATTAAAGTGACAAATTGATAATAAATAGTTGGAAGAACACTGCATGTATAGACTGAGCCTGGATGGATCTTTAAGTTCATCCTCAGTATTTCTCTCACCATTGTAACCTGGAACTGGTTTTCCAGCCTGGCCTGCAGGTGGCGTGAGCGAGTTACCCAGACCGATACAGGAGGACGTGATGGCTGAGCCAGTTTCTAAAAAACAAACAAATAAAAAACTGTGTTTAAGAATCAGAACTGGAGATCAAACACTTCCGATTTCAAAAACAGCTTATTAGTTTTAACGTCAAGCTGACAGAAGGAAAACGTCCTGCGTTGCTTCTGTGAGCGGCGTTAACCCACATAGCAGAACTATGACAGCTCCTGTGGGCTCTCCCCGACTCCGCCACAGAACCGTGCTCCAGTTACAGCAGAGAGCCGGCTGGCGGCCTGCGCGCCCACCCAGCACAGGAACAACAGAATCAATCCAGCTCAGCATGGGAGATTACATCAGACACAGCAGCTGAGTGCGCCAGCATCAGCATCTGTCTTTGGTGTTAAATGCAAAACCCCAGATCTGTGAAGAGACGTTCCTGCTTTCCTTTCAGCGTCTCTGCAGAAAGTTTACAGCGTAAACATTCGTAAGCGGCTGCTTCAATAAATCCGTCTGCTACAGGAAGCGAATGTGGTGTAAATTCAGTGCTGCAGTTTATTATTGATTTTAGAAAGCTTATGCAACAGCAAATAATCCTCCTGCATCATGTATGCCACTAGAATAAATGTAAAGTAGTGCTGCTGGATTGTTCTCTGGAAGGGCAAAAGCTAATGGGAAAACATTTTACGCTGCAAGATCACCATGCAAAGGTCATTTCAGTCAATAATGCATAAAATATGAGCCACAGACCTACAATTAAGTACCGACGCATCGGCAATAAAAGGATTATACCAGGAGTTAGCATGTTGTGGTTTCCCCTTTTCTGTTATTCATAAATTAAAGCACCACCAAAGGCCAAGTTGGGTGGAGCTTATGATGTCATCATCACCTGCGTTTTGCATTCATTTGTTATCTAATATTATCTTTGATAAACATTCAAGTTAGCTAAAGTAAAGTCTGGGAACAGGAGGACAAATCATTTGAAACTGTTGGGCAAAAATTTCACAGGCAGTTTGAATACAGATTTGAAATCTGTATTCGACTTGAAAGAAGCCCCGACAGCAAACCTTTTGCTTTTCTACCAAAGTGGGAAAAGGCGATAATCCTACTGCAGTCAGAAATCTAAAGAAAAACAAAACGTTGGGTCGTTTCTCTGCAGCAGGTTCCTTCCAGACGAGACCTGGTGAGGTTTTTAACGACGACGAGACGGAGGAGGGAATCTACCATCTTTTAATTGATCCGTTTGTAACAGACAGCAGTTCTTAAAGTCCCACATCATAATTGGTAGGAACATTTAGATTCCTCATCCCGCATGGAGACGTTCTGTTAAAGCACAGACGTCCTAATTCAATCTCAAATCACTGGAGTTTTGGCGTCTTTTAAAAACTCTCGGATTGCATGTTGACTGGAGTTTGACCCAAACCACTGAAAGGAGGCGACACGAGCCGAAGGTGTTAAACTGACTGGAACAGACGAGATTCGAGATGAACTAATAAACCTCAAAGCTAAAAGAAATATGGACTTTACATTATAAGATGAAAGCAGCCAGACTGAACCGACTCTGCAGCTTCTAGGGATAAAATCACACAAAGTAAAGACTTTGAAAAATGCATTTGTATTACAAAGGCTTTGACATAATGTTGCCATAAGAGTAGCACCAAAAAAGACTGTTAAAAGAGTAAAGGAGCATGTGATTATTTAATAATCATGCAAACTTTAATTTGCTTGGTAATGTGCATTTGGGTCGAGTCATTTTCCTCACACATTCTGTGTCTCCAGTCAAACTTCAGTCTTCCTCCAGCTTCACACCCTTTTCCTCTTGTACACAAACAAATCAATCTTCCTTTTGCCTCGTTGGAGATTGCTCTGGCCAGTGTGAAGCCTTTTGTGTGTGATGAATGAGCGGAGAGGAGTAGAGAATGTTGGATGACACCAGGGAATAACAGAAAAAGGCAACACAGTGGCATGTTTTGACGCAGAGGAGTCGCTTTGAACAGCCGCGCTCAGTGTGAGGAGCTTTTGAAGGGAACAGCTGCAGAAAAAGTTCTCCGAAGGGAGGAACAATTTTTTTTATTTATCTGATGTCCCCCTTTTTCCTTACATCCAAGCTTTTCACTCAGAATATTAAAATAAAAGCTCAAACAACCAAACCACCTCCATCTATACAGCTTATATGTAAGGCAGGCAACGCCGTCTGAAGGCCAGCAGGGACTAATGTTACGGTCTAGTGTGGTTCCAGAGTATAAATGCTGGAAAGTCTACGAAAAAGTAATGCATTGATGGTAATGTCTCGAAACTGACTGCGTCAGTCTTGCAGCAGGCAGCTGTCCTGAGCACTTCTGCTCCCACAGCAACGTTAGACCGAGATTCTTAAAGATTATTATGATTTACATCGAACGAAAACAAAATGCAAAACGACGGAAATAAAATTTTGGATTATTAAAGAATGATTAGGTGTTTAAAATGACTGGCATGTAAGAGAAGTCTTGTTTAGTGGCAACACATAAATCATAAAACAAAAATTATGTTTGTAATTTGCAACAAGCTGGACGACACCCAAGACTGAAATGTTTGACTTTCATGGAAAACTGACACACGGTAGTGGCAGCGTCATGCTGCAGGGAAGCTTCCTCCAGGAAACCAGGTCAAAGATGGTGAAAAGACGTAACGACTCAATAACCTGGCAACCCCAGAAGAAACAGTAAAAATGTAATTAATGATAAATTATCTCACGTCTCCAAAAATCTGAACTCTGTTCATGCATTATGATTCGAATCCATTCTTGGATGTCATCAACAGGCGAACCAAACAAAACACCAGGAAAGGTTCAGAGGTTCTCTCTGCACATCATACATATGCAGGGCAGAGCTTCAGGCCGTCTGTGTGATGTGTGGTTGCTGGGGTAACTTGGTGAGGAGCTCAGAGAGAGAACTGACCTAAGGTCAGCGTACAAAGACAGATGCGGGGTGGGCGACGTCACAGACAACAGATTATTTCACTCTTAATTTACTTCATCAGCCAAATGACGAGAAAACTACTCATTCAGATACGTTTCCATTTACATGAATATTAATTCATTAAAACATGCACGGTCAACATTTCTAAAGTTAATCATTACAAAGCTGTTCAAAATGTTCCTCTCATACGACTCCAGTTAAAATGATCCGACTTAATTGACCAACTGAGCTCAGCCTGAGTCAGGAGAAATTACAGCTTCTCATAAAATACTTTAAAACCAGATTCCTGGTTAATAACTGTACATGCCCGAAAAAGGGGATATTTTATGAATTCTGTCATAACCCACATGCAGGTGAACAGACAAACCAAATGGTGCTGGAGGTAAGTTTAAAGTTGAGGTTCCTAATTCAGATTTTTAAAGAGAGAGGAGTTACTCAAGTGTTTCACATCTCAGGAAAACCAGGCAGAAACACCAAAAGTTTAGAACTACTGAACAAGAACTGATTAGAAGACTAAGGCTGCGTTCACACTGCAGGTAAATGCGACCTGGATGCGTTCTGCAGTCTGAACGGGCAAACGACCTGAACGTGTCCCGCATGCGCAGTAGAGGGCGCTATAGCATCGGAGGAGGAAGAGGAAGAAGAGGAAGATGAAGAAGAAAAAGAAGAAGAAGAAGAAGAAAAAGAAGAAGAAAGAGAAGAAGAAGAAAAAGAAAAAGAAGAAAAAGAAGAAGAAGAAGAAGAAAAAGAAGAAGAAAGAGAAGAAGAAGAAAAAGAAAAAGAAGAA